TTTTATAATGGAGCTGTTATTAGCACTCAAAAATTTCATCATTCACTTCTCCCTTGTGTTTTTGCAAAAGGAGAACAAGGAGTGCATGATGACCTTCTTTTTGTCTTTATAATTACATATATTTTATAAAAACCTAATAACATTGTTATTTTCTAGATTTTTAAGTATTTTCAAATATCAATAAAAGGCTATAAATAAGCAATTATAATAATTATTATAATATAAAAAGTTATCATAATTATTGGGTTTAAAATTTAGGGATGCTCTTGTCACGTTTGATCACTAGAGAAGTCATATTCATATTCGGCACCTTAGTTGCTATAGACTTATTTTTGTTTATCGTATCAATAAAATACTATCGTTAAAAAAACAAAAAAACACGAACTACCTACTTTCTCCCAATATTAACTTCCTTTCTACTTCTTCCACATTTTCTCCCTCCTTGTAGGTGTAGCTCTCAAATTTACTATCTCAAATCTCAACCATTTATTACATTTCTGTCTTTATTAATTCACTTGATAACAATAAAAGCAATCCAGTACAAGCATTTATAAAAAAAAAATCAATGCAATCTCATCGAACTTTTTATTAAATTTTAAATAATTCATTTTGGTATTTAATTTGAATAACAGAAATCACTGCAAATCTTTTGTCATTTCCACTCTGTATGTCACTCATCTGCTTTTGGATTTGTCTGAGGTAGGACGCCAAAGGCTACGGTCAATCAAGGTTATAGGATTTTAGATTTGGAAGGCATTTTTCATGATATCATCATTTATTTATATTTATTTTATTCCAAATATTCATACTCATATATGATGTAAATGGCAGATATAATTAATACATACTTATCCATGAATGCATGCCTTAAAATAAAATAAAAAAGAAGCAAGTAAAGTGAGTCGCGCTTCCTTGCACCCAAATTCAAATCTCCTTCTCTGTAAACAAAAGTAATTTAGACTATCGATTGTATTTTTTTTTTTAAATGAAAAAAAAGAGAAGTACTAGAATAAAGAAGACACACAACACAACCTAGTTTTGGCCCTTGGTAGCTTTCATTTAAGTCCCCTACTTAATACTCCCATTCACTGATGCAGCTTACGATTTATTACATGACCAAAAGGCCAGTTCTTAAAAAAAAAATTATTTCCTTATTGAATACTTAATGTTCGGTGAGGAGCATGTAAATCCTTTTGTAGAAGATAAGGTCTTGCTCCTGCCATAGAGTAGTTATACCTACAACTACACAACATTTGCATATCACACCTCTTATATATGTGTATACTGAATTCACACTCACTGGTTAATTAAGAGCATTTAGCTTGTTGGATTTACTATAAATTTTACTTATTTTAAGTCTTCATTTAAATATCAGCCTTATAAAAATTAGATAAATTAAAAACCAATAAGACACCTAGTTGTGGTCAACAAAAATAAATAAACACGGTGTTTCAAGAAAACTCTAAAATGATAATCATTTAATTGAGTGGTTAAATGACTATTTCGGATTCATGTGATTTTTTGTAGAGATTGTCTTTAAGGTAATACCTAAAAAGTAGATGGTTGGATCATTGAAATGAAATATGAGGGATCCAATCTATCTCTTTTTCAAGTCTTCATTTATAGATCATCTTTGAAAAAAATTTGACAAATCATAAATCATTAAGACATCTAGTTGCAATGAAATAAATAGACAAACACAGTTTCTTTCACAGACTCTCTCTTCTTCTCTCTTTCTCATCTCCCTCCTCTCCAACAAAGATCTGGCCACTGTAGAAGATGGAGAGAGAGAGAGAGAGAGAGACGTAGGAGTGGGCAACGCCGGTTGTGGACGTTGATGCGTCGGCCGTGGGGGCTGTGCCGGATATTTGAGTCATTTTGACTTCTTCGTTTTTTTAATTTTTTTTTTTCTTAAAAAACAATTGTTGGGTATTCTTAAACATTAAATATAAAAAGTCTAGAGATAAACCATGCATAAATAAGGCAACCTCTTTTAAGCGTTTAAGAAAATGTTGTAAATAGCTATAGTAGGGTAGACGTTCTATCCATTTTCACTTTGGGTAGACGTTCGAAACCCCAAGCACCCAATGAATATTTGTTTAAACTCCCTCCCCCAATTACTTGTACTAAAAAAAATTGAAAATAAAAGTTATAACAGATTCCTCAAATTTTTCATGTAATGGAGGTTAATATATATCGGCATAATTAAGGTCACGTTTATATTATTTTAAAAGGTACGTAGGACTAACTGCCAAGGGGCATCCTAATCAATATCTTATTGAGAATCTAAGGAGTTTAAGACTAGATTTATTTTCCAGAAATACCTTTGTGAAATTGTGAACCAAGCCTAAGTGCAAGGAGGATGATTGAGGGTTCACAGAATCACTGTTCAGGTGCCATAAACAGTCGTGAAAAGGACATGCGAGTTCTTTCAATTCAATTATATACTTTCATTTGTCTTTTCATTTGTCTTTCTCACCCGAAGAGATAATGATGTATGAAGAAAATAACCATTGGGAAAATAAGCTACCTACATTAAACGACTCTTTTAACGAGGGATATATATATATATATATTCAAATGGTGATAGTCTAAGCAACGTTAATTTACGAAGAGGAGAATTCGAACATTGGTGTAAGGTTGCAGACACAATACATGTCAAAATAGCTTATAGCACTAAGTCATTATGTGGTTTTTACCCTATTAATTTATATTCTACTATTTTAACAAGTTTGAATTTATAAAGATATATAATTCAAGTATTCAAAGAAACTTTTTGATTTGTGGTCACACTGGGGACCCGCTTAATGGTAAAAAAGTTTCTATGTCTGTTTATACCTGATGAGAATGGGAATGGGATTCACTCTTACTAGTTCTTTTGCCACTAGAGGTAGGGTGTAGTGAGTAATCTTGGTGGGTGGGGAAAGTAGATAAATGAGAACAGAAGCTCTCACTTACATGAAGCTTTCCAGAGAGGTACAATACTCGTACCTACCATCAATTGCAAAACTGTTCAAATCCATTGCTGTTGCTATTAATTATGGGCTTGACTTATAAACGTGAGTGTGTTGACGCAAAATCATCTATCTTTGATCAAAACGTGAGCTTGACTTATAAAACAATATAAAATAAAATAAAAAATTACGTACTTCCTCCTCATGCTTACCTGCCTATGAACAAGTTGTTTCATGCTCATCTACGACTCAACTTCGAGACAAAAAAGCTCATAAATAATATGTGACGTCGAAGTTGAAGCAAGTTATTATGTTTTAATTTCACCAAATATATATTATATCTAACACCACATAGGAATTGAATTCGATGCTTCATATGTGAATTTAAGTTATTATGTTTTAATTTCACCAAATATATATTATATCTAACACCACATAGGAATTGAATTCGATGCTTCATATGTGAATTTCATAAGAAAATTTCGATTTCGATTTCGTATACATGGTATAACTTGAGGCCAATTAAATTTCACAAATATTTTTTTTATTTTCTTCTCTTCCTTTCCAACTGATTTATTTAATTTTTTTCAAACAAAAATCAACACAGTGATATGTTTTTCTTATTTATTGTACATGGCCCTTTTTTATGTATATCGTGTCCCTCCGTGCAAGCAACTTCCAGTCAAACATAAATACAATGAGGTAATATGATTTAGATGGGACACCTCAATGCACCCCACTTATTCATTGCATCCAAATTGAGTAATTGACCATGCTAAGCCCAATTAAACTCAGCAAATGACATTGACACCTCCCCTTTCTCCTTAATCATTAATTTTTTTTTTAAACAAGTATATGTTTGATTTTTATTTTTATTTTATACAAGCAATATTCTACTTTAATCTAATCTAAACTACGGGGAGGGGGATTCGAACTCAGGTATAGAGTAAGTGGCACATCCGCTCTAACCAATTTGACTAAGCTCATGTATGCAAGAAGTATACGTTTGAATATTTAATCAGTATATATATCTCTTAATTTGAGATTAGGGTTGTTTGCTTCACGGACAATGATTTAGATGCCCTCTCTTGTAGGGTACGTACTCCTAACTTCAGAAACTCTAAATATGTCTATTGCTAAGCTTGGACACTCAGCTAACTTAAAAAAGAAAAACCATATGTCATCAGTTTCCTTTCTCTTTCGAAAATCAATGAAGGAAAGCTTAGAGACACGAGAACACTGTGTAAAATTTATTAGTATTAACAGATTTGATAACAACATAATTTCTCCGAAAGGCATTGTTGGCCAACCAAAGGACATACCTGACAATGCATATCTAGCTAGCTAATTGCGAGACTTTCAATTTAGACAATCTAATGTAATTTTATCTTCTTATTTTTTTACTATTTTACAAAAGAAAGTAAAAAAGAAAAAAAAAAAAAGGAACAAATTGTTAAGGCATGCTAACTCAGCATGTAAATTATGGGAGTTTTTTTAATTATTTTTGCAGGATTCAATAATATGATAATGAAAATGCCGGAAAAACACAGGGTCAATGCATGGCTTGTCATTTAATTTTCTGTATCCTGCAATGTAATTTCTGGGTGTGAAGAATTAATGGACTGGTGTTTCTTAGTGTTTAATTAAATTTGAGGGTGCTGTTGGATATGATTTTAAATTAGGGTTTAGCTGTTACGATTCAAATTTCCAAGGAATCCATTTAAGTCTTTGGTGTGTTGCTTGTTTTTTCTTTTAAATTGCAAGCTAGATGGGGGTTTCAGAGAGTTCTTGAATTATTTTAATATTGGAGGAGGGGAGGGTTTAGCTTTAAAGCCGTTGGGTTTTTCCTGTGCTGTATTTTGATATTAAACACCGACTAGCCTAAGCAATGAATGAAGGCAATGCCTTCCCCTGCACTTTGTAATTGCAATATTTACTGCAAATTTCCATTTCCTGCATTCTTATTGGGATCTTTTCCAACAATTAATACATTTCCTGGCCTCAATTACACTCTTCTTCTACCCAAAACTTGAATTCAATTCAATTCCTATCACTCTCTCTCTCTCTCTCTCTCTCTCTCTCTCTCTCTCTCTCATCCTATACCCTCCACCTCTCCCCCATAATTAAATTAAGCATTAAAGAAAATCCATCTTCCTATCCCTTCACTTTGTATATATAATGGTGTTCTGAGGTCCTTACCACCTCACCATGACCATGTTTTTGTTGCCTCATCTTTTCATGGTTTGAGGCCCTAAACCTTTTTTCTTCTCTCTTCAAACCCCACAATCCAATTAGATTCAGAGTCCCCTCCAGCCTCCTCTCTTGGCCACAACTCCCTCAACCCTTAGGTATAATTTTATGTAAGCACACCCCTTTTTTTCATTTAAATTTTAGTCCCTATGCAATTTCATGTTATATTTGTTGCTAATTCAACATGTTTTAACTTTGTCGGTGTTTGTTTTCATTAGAGAGCTGGAAATTTGTCTTCAAGCCAAAAGCCATGAGTAGGAGGAATGGAAGTGGTCCAAAGCTTGATCTGAAGCTGAACCTGTCACCACCAAGGGCAAGTAATAATAATCCACTGGTGCAGTCACCAAGAAGATCAGCTACTGTTTCACCAACATCACCACCAAGCTCATGTGTTTCCTCTGAGCTCAATCAGGAAGACAATTTCAGATACTCAAACAGCCCTGAGGCCGAGGCCACTTCCATGGTGCTTGTGGGTTGCCCAAGGTGCCTCATGTATGTGATGCTTTCAGAAGATGATCCAAAATGCCCCAAATGCAAGAGCACTGTTTTGCTTGACTTTGTTCATGACAACAACTACAACAACAACCCAACAACAACCATGAAGACAAGGAGGAGCTAAAAGAGCTATAAAACAAAAAAAATAGCTAGAAGGAGCTCAGAGCTAGAGTAGTTTATCCCCCTTCTTTTTCGGTTTCTGCAATTTTTACTAGGACTTAATGTTAGGCTCTTTCTATTTTCAACCCTTTTCTTCCTTTATGGGGGTAGCGCTATTGGCGCTCCATTTTCAGCTGCATTTCCACTATTTGGGTGGAAAAAGATTTGATTCAAACAGGGCTTAATTCAACTTCAGTTGGGTTGGGCCTTGATTTGTTCAACTTGACCAGACACGCTATCAACGGAACTTCGATAGGTGTGTTTGGGAAAAGAGTGGAGCGCGCATAACACTACCTATTTGTTTCTGTTTTTTCATTTTTCACCTCGCTAATCATAGAAATTAGGTTATGGCTGATGGACAAGTGGGCATGCAACATGGGGCTTGGTAGAGTTGGCTGTGTTTGTTTTTCTAGTTTTGTGTTTGTTTCTGCTTTTGTTAACCCTCTAGCAGAAGACAATGTAAACCGGTTTTAACTGTAACTGCCGAAATTTTCATATGAAAAAAATGTTAGGTCATATTTTGCCTTTGCCTTCACCTTTATGTTTTCCCTTTTTGTTCATGGGCTTATATGTTTTGTTACTATATCCACTCACAGCTTGCTACATCAGAGATTGCCAGGTAGTTTCCCTGAGTTTTATCTGACGCATAAAATAAAAGATGGGTAAAAACCTCAGAGTATATTTTCTGTTTTTCTTCTTTCTTGTTGAAAAAGTGCATCTTGTTTGAAACTTGAAAGCAAAAATTCTGCTTAAGAGTAGGTTTTCAGGTAAAATGGTAGCACCTTTGGGGGCCCACTAGGTCCATATGTACTTTGCTGAACTTTGTTTAAAGGGTAATGCTAGGCTTACCACAATTTTCATAACACATTTGTACCACATCTCTAATAGAGGTGGAGCTCACTAATATAACGGGCAATTTCAACATGGACCTTAACCCAAACATATATGACATGAGTCTTGTCAAATCAAATAAGAAAATCTTCACAATAGTGGTAGAGTAATTATTTTCGCATCCGTAATAAAAGTGTAACAGAAGTTTGAGTTTGACGAGTTCGACTCTCGGTTTTCTCTTTCCAAACTGAATATAAAATGCAAATATCAAAGCTACTATACAAAGTAAGCATAATTTGAATAGTTGGTTAATTTCTAATTGTCTTCCTCACCATAACTTGGGTAACTGACACGAATGTGAGTGTGGCTCATTTGTCCATATTAGGTACTGCAGCATCTATAACACTTGACTATTTTTACCAAATAATTCATCTGTTTTCTAACTGATTCTTATATATAAAGGTCAAAATCAATTTATTTAGGATTACATAAAGGATAATTATGTAAATTAAAATGTGGGATGGTTTGGGTAGTTCGAGCATTGAAAAAAGAAGAAGACTATATTATTAGATTGACAGACCATTAAAAACACATAAATGCAAGAGTAATTGAGACAGTTGAGCATAAAGAGGGGTATTACGTCAGATAATAAATACAAATTTAATTCCACCTTCACTCCCTTCTATTTTCTTCTATTTTTCTCTTTTTTTTTATTATATATATTTTCTCAAAAAATATTAAAATATTTCTTGTTTTCCATGGTTTCTGTTTTGGTAAGTTGGTATACTCTTGTCTTGTCCCTATCCTTCTCTTTAACTTCCTTTTCTTCTTCCATGCGTTTCTCTTAACTCATAGTGTCATGCTGATGCACTGGCATTTTACTGGTTTAAAATTTAGCATTTATGGTATAGGAAATACAAATAGTCGATACAGCATGGCATGTTATGTTGTTAAATTATCAAATTGAACAAAGCTTATCCGAAGTCTTAGGGTTACAACTTACAACCCTTTTAACTTGGTGGTCTGCTCGATCCACGATCATGTAGCAGAACACAACCATCTAAATTTGATGCAGACCAGCAGTCGGTTATGATATCCTATTGATAAAAATGTCTCAAACGAGAAAAGGATGTGGCACCAAAACATGAAAGAAAGGGTCCACAGACCACAACACATGAGGTAGAGCTTAATTAAATTAATGGCATACCTAAGCATCATTTATATTGGTATAAGATCAATCAGTCTCACAGCAGACAAGACTAAAGGAGCACGGATCCTTCATTCAGCCTTCTTTTTAGACTTTGAAGCCTAACATGGGCACTTAAAACTTTAGTTGTAATTTGTCAAAGTCAAACCAAGAAAAGAATGTATGTTTTTTTGTTTTTTTTTTTGGGGGGGGTTCTCTTTTTATGATTTATACACAGAAATAAAATAGTTAATTTGCACAGCTTCATGTATGGGAAAAATTAAACAATATAGAAATGGCCATTGCCTGAGTTGGCATCATCCGCATCTAGAATAGCTACAGAGGCAGGGCTGACGGCAGGACGACATAATTTTGAATGGTAAGCATCAACCATGAATGCAATTTAATTTTTGGGCCAAATCATGCACAAGGGTGCAAATGTAGCAGTAAATAGAAACTATGTACTAAAATTAGAAAGAGTCCTGTAAATGTGTGGGCAAGAACTTGAACACATATCCACAGGACGATCGATGTACGAAGCAACACATATCCATAGGACGATCGATGTACGAAGCAATAAGGAAAGGTCAAAATTGTTTTGAATTTGCTGATGCTAGAATGCTCAAAACTTTCTGCAGACAGTACGCAAGGAACAGAGAGAGATGCAATTAGTTGTTGGATTTGTTTTTCCTTCTTCTTTTGTTTTTTTCTCTAACGAAAGGAGGAAGAGGAGGAGATTCAAACTTGAGACCTTGAAAGAGAACTAGCATATTTTTACCTATTAATATTTATATTTTTATTATGAAATTACCTATAGGATGACTAATAATGCCTAGAGTGGGGTAAATAGGTCAACTTAAAATTATAACAAATAAATAAAAATAAACTTCGGTACTAGGATTGATATGGTTTATCAATTCTGAAACGTGCTGAGCATAAAATAAAGAAAAAGAGAATTATTTTACGTGGTAAAACCCCACCTCTGGGGAAAATCCACGGGACTCCTCAGTCCAAAACAAATCCACTATAGAACGATGATTACAAGAAGTACTCACACACTTATCCTAGACACATTCTAGATAATGTTTACCGACTTCTTCGTAACTCAACTTATGTCACGAGATGATCTTTCAACACTCCTTATATTGGGTGCAATACTGGTCATGATTGCTTCAAGCTCACCGGAGTTCTTGCAACTCTCCTTATGTTGAATCCGATACTTGTCATGATCGATTCAAGCTCACTGGAGAAAAACCGCAACAATGGTCTTGGTGCCCTAAACCATATGAGTCACCGAACATGCAAATAAATGCAATATGAATGATAAAATTGTTTGATAAATCACCAAGTAAACATGGAACACTTGATGATTTATCTCAAATAAAAATGCAGCTTTCTTAAGCGTTTAAGCGCACAAAATTATTGTTCAAAAGCTGTAAAGAACAAAGGTCTTGTTTTATAGGCTTTTAGTTCCACCAAAAGAGTAACTACACGTTCATAACCAATTTACTTGATTTGCACGAATTGAATAAAATCAAAAAGATATTTTCCTATTCTAATGATGATCACACGTGAAGCCCAAAACAATAGAAAAGGAAAATTCCAATTTTAAAAGAATGTTTTTTATAATCACACTATTAAAGGAGTCCTAGTACTCTTAGGTATGATTTTCAAGTAAGTTACTTAAAAGATAAGTAATGAATTATTCATAAAAGAAAGAAATAATAAATAAAAGATTTTGCAAAATATGCCTAAATGAGATGCACTCCTAAATGGATTCTAGTTGATTAAAATCAAGGAAGATCAGGGAAATAAAATCATATTAGATTCCAAAAAATGTTCCTACTATGAGTGCATGAAAAATGTCATGTCATACCCTTCAGATCAAATGTCTCATACGTGTTAAGTCACAATTCTGAAATTTGGGAATTGCTGAGCAGTTTCAATCCTACAGTTTCTGGAAATTAGAGACAACAATTTTGCTTCAACCTTACAGCTAAATGACACTTCCAAACCAATACTAAGTTCTAGGAAATGCCAACACAATTTCATACTAACATATTATTCATTAATATTTCAGGTATTTGCTTTCAGAAATGTGTAATGTTTTCTAATATATCATCATCATAGATTCGTTCTATAGTGAGGGCCTTAAATGAGGTCCTATCTCTTAACCGTCGGATCAAACTAACCAATTTGATCCAACAACTAATCAATTTAAGCCAACGGTTAATAAATAGGGCCTCATCCCTCATTATAGAATTTTTGATATCATCATATATCCAAGTTTTTGTTGGGCCAATTTTACCCAATGAGTTTGAAAATAATTTGCACCATCGTCAAGGTCTGAAGAACAAGCTTAGTTCCTCAAGTCCTAGGTCAACCCAAACCCCCACCAAGCCCATTGTGAAGATGGTAGGTTTGTAATTTATAGGAAGTTCGAAGCCTCTTTGTTATATTGTAAACGAGCTTTGGGTGTGTTTCTAAACTCCATTTCATGTAAGATTTTTTATTTTATTTTATTTTATAATTTGGGCCCCTATATTAGGCATAATAGTGAATCCCTCTTTGTAATTCTTGTAACAGTAGACAATATCTTCACCAAAATTACATGTTCAAAACTTCTAGAGCTACTGCTTCTAAAGTTCAAGATACCAAGGGCAAGGTAGGTTTCAAGTACAAGCAAACAAAAATAACTTAGGAACTGGATAAGGAGTAAGGTTGGAATCAAGTTTTCTCTAACTCCTCTCCAAATTTGAACTTCGGAGCTTAATAGCTTATTCAAAGAGCGTATTGGAGATTCATTACTCCTATTAGAGCATCCAGAATCATGCTCTCTATTTCTTAGCTAAAATTTAGCTGTAAACACAAAAAAACTATTTTAGGAGCTCTCTAAAAAATTTCAACTCTAACCATACTCCTTAATTTGGGGAGTCATAAATGCTTTACTTTTTTTTTTTGTCATAAATACTTTACTTCTTTTTAAATTTAATTCCTAATTTGCAATAAAATGTTTATATTCAAATACTGAATATTCCCAAATAATAAACTACAGAACAATTCTATGGTTTTTGTGTTTTAAAAGTGTTTCTGTTTTGCAAAATATCTACAGAGCTATAAAATTATAAATAAATAAATAAATAAATAAGGGTGTTTGTGTGCTGTTAAATGTCTAGAGTAAAAAGAATCGAAAAAAAAAAAGTGTGCTTGTACTTTGCAAAGCACCTATAGCAAAAAGAAAATAAAAGATGGTGCATAACGTAGGTAGCGTGCAATAGAAAGGGGATTAAAAAATATAAAATTCAGAAAAAAAGAAGATAGAATTAAGGATATTATTAAATAAATGTTTTAAATAACAATACAATATAGTAGCATTTAATTATAGGGAGTCACTAGGAGTCCTTTTTCTCTCCTCAAATTTAGGAGCTCCTAAAAGTTTCCTTATTTTAGGAGCTGGATATGGAGCATGATTGGAGGTAGGTTTTTTCAATTCCTCCCTAAATTTTAGCTAAGGAGGTGGTTTAAGGAGCCAATTGTAGATGCTCTTAGCTCTTATTATTGTAACTACCTCCTAACTAAGGGTTGTAGTTGAACTTTTATAAAGAGCTCATACCATAATTTTATAGTCTTTTGAACTAAAACTTAACTTTAAAATAGAGATTGTAATTAGAGATACGTGTAAAGTTTTCAACTTTTAATCTTCGAACCATCGTGGGCACTACCCTCCATCACCCTGTTAAAAACAACATAACAAATCTATGTTAGAAATTTTATATCTACTATCCCACATCTCCAATTGATAGTGAACTCATTATATTGAAAAACTCATTAGATTAAAGTTGGGCGAGTTGAGATAACATGTTTGGAGATCAAGTTAAGTTTGAGTTGAACCTCCAACCTATCCAACCCACCTAACATATTCTAATTGGATCTAAAGTAAAGCACAAATCAATCAAAACAAAAACATTTGTATCAATTCATCTATAAATATAAATCCCAAACTTTTAATTTATTTATTTTCCTTTCATTATCTAGGAAACTTTCAAAATTCCAATAAAAATATTATTCCTTTCTTCTTCCACATTGGGTCACCACCTTCTTGATCCAATAGTTTCTATGGCCCAATAAAGTTAATCGGTCCAAAGTCACTGTTGTCACCCAAAATAACAAACCAACAGGCTCAACCATGAAAACCCAAAACACAAATGAGCACCAATTGGCAATTGCAGTCTCTGTCCTTTGAAGATAAGTTAAAAATGAAAACAGTCCAACTTTATTCCGAAAAATCCTAACCCATCTTTCATAACCTATCAAAATCCCTTTTGCCCTCAGTTTTTTCTTCTTTATTCCCACTTTGCCTTCGTCGACCTACTTTCTCCAGATTCTCAATTCTTCACTCTCTGAAGGTCTGACCCCTCCACCCTCCCTAGATATCCTCTTGCTTCCATTAGATCTCGGCACAGCAGCCTGAGAAACACCCCAGCTGATCATCTATGACGCTAGGTTCAGGAGGATCGGGTGTCGTGGGTGAGTCTTTCATTACCCATGTCCTCGTTTGATCGAATTTTGCTTTGATCTTGTTGTTTTCATGCAGTCTGCAAATGGGTTTTTATTGATTTTGTGGTTTATGAGTTTTTTTTATATGATATCACATGTTGGTAGGTAAGTTTGGCCTTTAGTTGAATAAATTATTGCTTTTGAAGCTGGTATTTTTTTTTTCCCTGTTCACAATTTGTGTTATTGGAATCAAATTGAGCTCATTTCTGATTAATTTTTTACTTGCATAGTATTACAAGTTGGAAATGTAATATTGCATTTTTGGTTTTCTCTGTATAGAGTGCATTTATGGGGGAATAAGTCAAAGATTGTTTTTTCTTTTCTTCCAGTTATTTGTGTTTCATTACATAAATACCTGCCTGAGCCTTATTCGATGATGGTTCCTGCTTGTTCTTTCTCTTCATTGTTTATTAACCAATGTATGTTTAATTAGAACTTTTTTTTTTTACTGATTCTCCATTGAACGGCGTACTGAAGAGACTGTTTCAAATCTGCCAAAAAAGCATGATTTGGTCTGTCTACATGCAAGTTTCTGGTTATGTTTGTGTGTATTCAGAGAACTGTGAATAAAAGAAATATATAATTCAGAACTATCGGGGGTTGTTGCTTATTTTTTCTGCAAGATTCTATTTATGTTCCCTTATATTGTCAAGCATGCATGCATGAGTTTCCTTGCAGTCCCACGAAACTTCAGATTGCTGGAGGAACTTGAACGTGGAGAGAAAGGTATTGGGGATGGCACTGTCAGCTATGGAATGGATGACGGAGATGACATCTACATGCGTTCTTGGACTGGTACCATCATTGGTCCCCACAATGTAAATTTCTCTTTTTTTAGATTATGTCATGTTCTCGTTTAAGATTTGTTTTGTCAGATTACTTGTTTCATGCTTTCTTATCAGAAAAAATTATGTGTTGCATTTGTGGTCTCTCCTGAATTTGCTCTATTTAAACTTTCTGGAATTAGTCCATACTTAGACCATAAGGGCTTGTTTGATAAGGAGGACTAGACTAGACTAGCAAAATGCCTACATTTCATATGCATCTAAGGCATAATATGGATATGTTGTTTAACTTGGAGGAAGAATGGGGACTATGTATAAGAGGTTGATGACTAAAACTTATCCCCTTGAAAATGGTGGGATTTTGAGTGATAAGTTTTACTCATCACCCTCCTACGAATAGTCCTCCCTCATCCTCTAAGTTAGACAACAATATCCATATTATGCCTTGATTGCACATGAAATATAGCCACTTTCCTAGTCTAGTCTAATCCTCCCTAACAAACAAGGCCTAAAAGGACAAAAGGTTGACATTGTGGAAAGCTTACTAGATCCTACCAAATAATTTGATCAGCATTGGCTTAGCTAACTAATATTTGCTCATCCTTAAGCAAATTCTAAGTAAGAATTATATCGTCTTACCTTTACTTTTGATATTTACAATGTACTGGGTTTTTACAAGTGATGTAAGACCTGCTTAAAAACTTATGGTACTTGTTCAGTCCGTCTTTATAATTATCTACTTTGAAAAGGAAGGGGAACTGTATGGGAGTCGGGGTTGGAGGTTCTTCAAATCTCTTGAATAAAAGGAAGAAGCTTTAGTTTTCCAACTTTTCAAACATACCCTATAATCTTTTCGGGGTCAATTCTTTCTTTATTCCTCTGCAAAGAATCTGTTTGGGATTAATTGATTCTTGTCTCCTGCTTGTTACTATAGTGTTGTTCAGGCAATGTTTTCTTATCAAGTGTTATTAAGCTTACTAAAGTGATGAAAATGTTATATGCGTTTTGCATATATTTTTTGTATAATGCAATAATGTTCTTCTTTTTATTGTGTCCAGACCGTACATGAAGGTCGAATCTATCAGTTGAAGCTGTTCTGTGATAAAGATTACCCTGAGAAGCCACCAAGTGTTCGTTTTCATTCACGGATTAACATGACTTGTGTTAACCATGAAACTGGAGTGGTATGATTATAATTTCATTACTTGATTTTTAATGCAGTTGTTTTGTGGTATGCATTTTTTTTTTCCTTGCTGCAGCTAGTGTTCTGCACTTAGCATTATTCAGACCCATTTCTGGTGGTCTAACAACCTCCCCCTTTTCACAAACAGAAAAGGAGAGAGATGCGTTAGGTGTAGGGAGCATTTTTGCTCATCACTTTAACCCAATGTGTACACCACCCTTCTCAAATTTTTGACATATGTCCATGCTTGTAACCATAGTTAACCCTTGGACTTTTAAATCTTTTTAAGTATAACATTTGTTAAAAAAAACACTCTCTCTCCTTCTCTTCCCCCTTCCCGACCCACCCCCACCAGCCACCTCAGTCAGCAACCCCAGACACCTCATTCAGCAACCCCAGACACCTCATTCAGCAACCCCAGACACCTCCTCCACCTCGTTCAACCTCAACCACGCCCCCCACCACAACCACCACCAACACCGACAAGACCCATGAAAGCCACATTCAATTGACTGATTTTTTTCAATTCTGGCTACCTATATCCAATCAGCCACTCAAAATACGAATGACCCCTCTAGCTCTCCCTTCCCGACCTACCCCCCTAAATCAACCTAGACCAATTAGCCATAACCGACATTCAGAATCCACAATTCCAACCCAAAATCAAACACATCCAAGACTGGAAACAAAACAAGCTTGAAAAAGTAATGATATCCAAATCAAAGATAAAACAAATTCTCCATAAGACAAATTCAGTGACTAAAAACTAAGCCCAAAAATTCCAGATCTCGACCAAACAAATACCATTGACCAAAAACAAAACAAAAAAAACCAAAGCCAAATTGAACGAAGTTTTCTGGGGTTTTCCCCCAGTTCATTAAAAAAAAAAGTTTTAAAAACCCATGACTTGTTGGGACAAGCCTGAAAATTTCAGTAAGTTTTTCAAGGATTTAATTCTGGTTTTACATTTAAAGGTGTTAGGTTGTTGTTGGGAGTAGACTTCGTTGGTTGGGGCCAAGGGTGATTGCTGGGGAATGGTGGCTAGGGTTGGGTGGCTGGTGGGGGTGGGTCGGGAAGGGGGAGAGAGAAGGAGAGAGTTTTAAAAAAAAAATGTTATTTTATTATTATTTTACTTTATTTTTCAGTTTTAAATACTTAAAAAGATTTAAAGTAAAAGGGTTAACTATGGTTACAAGCATGGACAAATGTCAAATTTTGAGAAGGGTGGCGGGGGTACACATTGCGTTAAAGTGGTGAGCAAAAATGCTCCCATTAGGTGTTCTGCATTAGATAAGGTATATTTGTCTTTTGTTTCATTGTAAAGAAACCAAGGTACTGTATAGTCTTTTACTACAACTATCACAAATAATTCCAGGATTATCCCCCATTCTTAATTCTTTAATGATATTGATGTTGATTATAAGAACATTGATGGCCCCGACCAGACGGCTTTTGGACCAAGTGTATGACTATCGAAAATTCAGCCCACTTGGTTATTTTTAGTAATATTTTTGACAGTATCTCACACATCCAATTGAATAGGTGGAACCAAAGAAGTTTGGACCTCTTGCGAACTGGCAGCGAGAGTACACCATGGAGGATATACTTACACAGCTGAAAAAGGAGATGGCATCCCCACATAACCGGAAGTTGGTCCAGCCTCCAGAAGGTACCTACTTCTAGCTTTCAAGACCGTATAGATATCATGGAACCAATTGCATATGGAATATGCAATATATAGTTTGTAACGTCCTTGTTGCTGATCCTATGTTAAGATCATGCATGGGAGTGCCCCAAAAAAGTCTCTTGTTACCTCTCCGTGGCTTCAACTTTGTTTTGTTTTCTTCTTTTTTCAAACTGTGTTCAAGGGATGCTGTTTGATTAATGGGATTTTATGTGTGTCCAATATTTAACATACCCTTTTAAGTGGACTCTTCTACCCTTCTCTGTGTGTATACTTCTTCTATCCTCTTATTGTTCTAGTTTTTTTTGTTGTTGCCATTTTTGTCAATTTGAGAGAAAGAGTATCATATTACAAGCATTATATTGTGAGTGGGAGAGTAAACCGAACTCCTAGTTCCCATATACAAAAATTGTGATTGTAAGCAAAACAGCTACAGCAAGCGCAACGACAGTTGAATTATGTTTCACTATCTGGTTATTCAATCACTCATTGTGGCAGTAAAATCGACTGCAAATTGTGTTTGTTATCGGTTCATTTTCGTTCAAAGTAAATCATTTGTGATGTTGAGCACCATTTGAATCTCAAGATGACTGAGGTCCGTTTAACCGTCGACCATGATCCTATTGGTACAGAAGTATGAAATCTCTGTCAAAATGTGTAATTACAGTAGATTTTAGTTAGTATGTGTTGGTTAGCATTCCCCAATAGTAACTTGTAGATGATTCGTTTAACAATTTGCTTGGTTGCCTTGCAGCTGCTTTACCCAATTTTAAGTCTTATTTCTTACATAAAGAATATTAAAAGCCAAATAAATTGACAATGGAACTCCAAATTTCTCACTTTCAATATCGCCAACTGGGTGTTTGATGCTGGACTTGAACCCAGAGACACGTTCACTCATATATTTTCAATATCGCCAACCAGGAATGGATATTGGAATTATTTCCAACACTAACACAAGTATTTGAATTATTCAATTCTTGACTTACTCTGCATTTATTTACTAAAACATATAGATATTTATATATGTATTACGTAGAAAAATTTGTAACCAAATACTTGAAAAAGTATGGATTAGATAGATTAGGGGGTTAGTTGATCCCGTATTCATTTCATAATGAGAGGTTTCTTAATAGCTGTCCGATTTAGTGTAGGGTTATTTGGATTGATGGATTGAACCCTCGTTGTAATTTCTCAACTGGATATTATGTATGAGTCATTGTTGGGTCAGCAGCACCGGTTCAAGTTGGGTTTTGTGGCAAAGGGGAATGCATGGGCAGCAAAATAAGGAAAAGTGGGTGACCTAACTTGGCAACTTGTTTCCTATTTTTGGCCTCTATTTTCATTTTCATGACTGGTAAACTTAACGTCTCAAACACTAGGCAAACAAACAATAGCACTTGACTTTCAAATTTCTGTAAAGCTCACTGCCGACTTCCGTTGTATACAATTTTAGTTTCTAAACACATGTTTTTGACCTTAATCAACACACTGCCTTATCATTGTCGGAGTCTTCAAACACACATTTATAATTGTCGGAGTCTTCGAACTGCCTTATCATTTCCATCATATACAGTTTGATGCAGATCGCTTTTGTAAACACAAGTTAATTGTTGAAAGTGCTCTTTTTGTATACTCGCCATGTTAAGAACAAGTCTCAAATTTAGTGGATAATAAACAAAAGTCTAATAATAATAAAACAAATTTTATATAGCAAACCAAACCTAATTCGACTCGCAAATATAAAAGGAAAATCTTTTTTTTGGGTTGAAAAAGGAAAATCTTAATCTAAAAAGAAAAGCAAATCAAACCAAATGATCCACTAAGGCAGCCCCTAAAAAAGGTCTAAGTTCGAGTCTTAGTATATTATCGTCTCTCTTAATAGGATAGGTCCTAAAAGAAAAACCAAAAAGGAAATCACAAAATTACCAAAATGCTCAAACTTTCCAAAAAACGAAAACAAAACAAATCTGACTAATAAAGGAAGAGAAATTATTGTTATGACCCAAAAAATGCCCCTAGATCACCGCAAAACAGTGAGTCACATTTTGTATTTAAGTGCCCGTCAATCTCCCAGTGGTCAATATGGCGCCGCGACGAGCCAAAACACGACAGCCACCATTGTTTTCGGGGGCTCCACCATTTCTCCAACTTTAGCTAAATTTCAGTTAATACAAATCTACAAACACAAATTAAGGAAATTAACAAATCAACAACACCACCAAATTTTATAATAGTATCTCACAACAAATCCAGAAACTTAAATATTAAAAATTAAAAGTAACAAAAATAATAATGAACGATTGCCCCACACGTCTTACGTCTATCTCCTCTTTCAATCGATTCTGTATAAAACTGCTCCCTTTTTTCTTGTTCCTTTTTCAAAATCATCCATCAAACCCTAACCAAATTCACCATCATATTCGTTTTATTTATTTTTAAATTTCGTAACAAGCAATCGTCGATTCGGATCCGATTCAATCTGATCTGGACGACCTTATGCTATGTCTTCACCCGACCCGGCACAGCGCCCTCTGCCCCTAGGCATCCTGACCCGGTCGGTCTGGTCCGATAACCTCGACTCCGAGTTCGAACTGATCCGGTCCGTCATCGACGATTACCCGCTGATTTCAATGGACACCGAGTTTCCGGGCGTCGTTGTCCGACCCGACCCCAACGACCCGACACTCCGTCACCGGGAACCCGACGCGCACTACCTCATGCTCAAGGCCAACGTCGATCGTCTGAATCTGATTCAAGTCGGCCTCACGCTCTCGGACGACAATGGCAATTTGCCGAATTTGGGCACCGAGAATATGTATATTTGGGAATTCAATTTCCGAGACTTCGACGTGGCGCGAGACCCCCACGCGCACGACTCGGTGGAGTTGCTTCGGCGGCAGGGGATCGATTTCGACCGGAACCGGGATTTCGGGGTCGACTCGGTCCGGTTCGCCGAGCTGATGATGTCATCGGGGCTCGTTTGCAACAACGACGTAAATTGGGTCACGTTCCATAGCGCTTACGATTTTGGGTACCTGGTCAAGGTGTTGACTCAGCGAGTCTTGCCGGAAAAGCTGCCCGAGTTCTTAAATTATGTGAGGGTGTTTTTCGGGTCTGGAGTTTACGACGTGAAGCACCTGACGAAGTTCTGTTCCGGCCTATATGGTGGGCTGGACCGGATCTGCCAGACCCTGAATGTAAGTCGGGTTATCGGGAAGACCCACCAGGCCGGATCGGATAGCTTGTTGACCTTGCACGCGTTCCAGAGGATCAGAAAGGACTACTTTTCCAAGGATGGCAAGGACTTCATTGAGAAGTTCGCCGGCGTTTTGTATGGTCTGGAGGTTTCTTGATACTTCCATTGAAATCTATTGCTCATAGATTTCTTTCTTTCTTAAGTAAATTTTGTACACATGGCTTGGCTTTATCAATATCATTATTAGGTTTTATTAAATTCTTTGCAGCTCTTGTGCATTTCATTCCACTTCTTCTCCTTCTTTTTTTCTTTCTGGACTCTCATCTACTTTTTATTTTCCATATTTGTTTGTGCATATAATTGGTGCGTTTGGAGGCTTGTAGAGTTAGGAACTTTGTAGATGTTTGGGAAGAGGACTTAATCATTGGAGTGTGACTGTCGAGTTTGGTCTCTTTTTGTGGAATTTAATGAGTTTTTTTTAAGTGTATACAAGTAATTAGAAAGAGTGTTCACAAGTAATTACCAAATAAGTTGGATTGTCTTGGTATATAAAAACAAAAACAGTTCATACTTTTCAAAATTCTTCTTCAGGTCATTGTTATAGGAATGTGTAGACCCCGGTTGTTGTCACGTTGCAAGATGATTGAATTCTGCAAGAAGCTTTAACTTATTTGGTAAGATAATCAAGAATTGAATATGAGGAGGTCAAACCAAACTTACAGATGATAAGCTCCTTCCTCCAATGTTGAAGAGCATATTACTTTGAAGATGTACATGTAATATCTAGGTTCTCGCGTTCTTGGTAATGTGAGCTTACCACATAAACCTTTTAATACCTGTCCTATCTATGCTAAAGAAAGAGGAAACAATCGACTAAATGCGAATGAACTGTTTATTTCTTACTAATTTTAGTTGGGGCATCAATTTGTTGTTAGTAGGGCACAAGTTAATGAAGTCAATCAACGTAGTGTGACATTATATGTTTCATGAGTGTGCAGTCTCTACCAACTTTTGACTTTACTAGCAACCTGTTTGTCTCTCGCAATGATCAAACCTAGTGGTTTCTATCAAGGCTAAAAGACTAGCAAGCAGCCTTTTAGCCTCTCTTCACAATATAAATGTAATCTTTAGGACTTGCAATCCTTATGGACCACAGCATGTACTGTCAATTTCTTTGTTAGTTATATGCTTCTTCAGTATGGCCTATTATCACCCCTGCTCTTTCCTTCCAGTTGCATATTGACTTCCAAAACTACTGGAAGATGAATAATCATTATGTGTCAATAAATCTCACACATGCCATACAAATGGACTTGTCCCATTACCATAGCTTTCAATTGTTATTTCTGGTACTAATCTAGGTCATCCAATCTGAGATGCATTACTTTAATATTAATAATGACTCCTTTAACAATTTATCCATTAATGGTAGTGAGAGCGAGAGTTCCAGATTCATGGCAGAAGCAGAAATAGTAGTGAAGGCGAGAGTTCCCATTATGGAAACAGTGAAAGAGAGAGTTCTATTATGGAAAGTAACTTAAATGATAGTGATTTAAAACTGTTTGTTGATTGATCACCTCTGTATTGCACCTGTTATCAGGCGATACAAGTTCTAATCTGATTTTATTGTGACTACTAAAATGGCTATGTAAGTTGAGTGATTTTTGCATAAGGTGACCTGCTGGCCATCATAATATGAGGTTTATTTTGCACCAACACTTGCCAAATGGAAGGTGGGGAACATTCTTGTCAAACTGCAATGGGGGCAGATGAAGGCTATTCATTAAAGTTTCTACCAGCCAATTCTTCATTATCATCATCATCATCTTGTGTTATGTACTAATGAAAAGTGTATCATGTATTGCAGGTTAAAAGCCATTATACAGAAACAAACCACTCTTATAGTTTGTTAAACTTCAGTGCAGGTTCAAAGCTGTTATATCCAACAACTACAGCGAGTAATTAGTTTGTCACTTACTACCTTTTTTTAATCTCCTTATTTTACAATACCAGTAGCTTCTGCTATCCAGAAAAATCAGGTTGTGGCATCATGAACTGGTCTTGAACTTTCATATGTATCAGTATGTTGTTCAGTAGTTGAGAGTTTAACTTCCATGAAACATGCCTTCTGAATTTTGTGGTCATCGGCATAAGAAGTTAAGACCATGTCTTGTGTTGTGACTCATGATTTTAATGTCTGCTAAAATATCATTGCTTCTCTTTGCTGCCCAACTCATCAATTTTTATAATTCTAAAATTTTTATAATTCTAAGTGCTGCTAAAATAAAAATTTCCTTATAACTCCCAATCCTTCTTATCAGCTTCTAAGAATGGTAGGTTTAGGATTGTGTCTATTTTCTTTGATTTTCTGGGGCCTATTGGTTTTGAATTATTACTAGAACTGAACCTTTTCCTTAGGTATCCCCTCTTGTTATATGTATATATGTTTGCAATAGATATACATCCTTTATTGATAATCAAAACAATAAAAATTGAACATGAAGTTGACATTGTGGACTTGCCTGGTTTTTGCAGGATCAACAGCTATTGAAGACATTTGACAAACGTTGTATAATTTATTTTGATCTGTAGACACATGCGCCTGTGACTGCGCATGGAGGCAATCCATATATGCATGTGTATACATGTGAGATTTTGTTACCATGTTTTTGTTTTTCATTTTCACCTTCTATCGTGGGGCTTGCAGTTGAAGAAACAGGTTGATTTTTTTTGGCATGACATCTGCTTAGGCATTGATTGCATTTTGATTTAGAGCTTACCTTTTCACCCCTGATCCCCATAGTGGTTATCTTCCATTTGGGTGTATTGGTTAGAAGTTTGGAAATGTGCTCTTATATCAGGTCATTTAATCTGTAGTCAACATCGTTTTAGTTTTTGGTGGGAATTTCAATGGAGATGTGTAAGTTTTAGCTGTCACCTGTGGTTCATCTGAAGCATAAATTTAGTCCAAATATAGTCTGCTTGCTTTCTGTATCCTTCTTACAGAGTTATGGTTATTAGATGTCCTTCATATGTCTTCTGTGGATATCTTGAAGTCTGGCCATTTTGAATTCTCTTCGGATCAGGTTCGTGTCTGTGACTTATAAACTTTATTTTTGATTTCTTCAATCAAACATTGATTCTAGGGTAAACGATGGTGGTCCTTCTTGCACCCTTGGAATCCTTCACCCTAGATTTGATCTTATGCTTCTTAGTAGATTACTTAATTATGAAAACCGTAAGCTACTTTTACCAAAAATGGAAAGATTAACAATTGGCAGCAGTTTTGAGAATTACAAAAACCATTGCGTTAATTACTTATTTTCATATCTGTGGGGTTTTCTATTGTTCTTCTGATCAG